ATCCACTGTGAGCTTATCCCCACCTCAAAATTTCTTCTGGAGAGGTAGTGTTCTTTCTTGCCAAGGCTAATCTTTCCAACTATACTCTGGATCTCACCCTCTTCTCCCCTCTCTCATACATTTCTCTCTCTCTCTTTTTTGAAAATCTAATTATGGTATAGTTTCTATACCATAAAATTCGCCCATTTGAAGGGTACAATTTGTGCTTTTTAGTATAGCCACAAAGTTATGCAACCATCACCGCTAATTCCAGAACATTTTCATCATCCCCAAAAGAAGCCCCATCCACATTAGCAGTCTTCATTTCCTCCCAACTACCCTGTCCTACCCAAGACGATCACTAATCTACTTTCTGACTCTGTAGGTATGCCTATTCTGAATGTTTCACAAGTGGAATCATAAAATACATGGCCTTTGGTGTCCGGTGTCTTTCAGCATGACGTTGTCAAGGTTTATCCATGTTGTAGTATGTATCAGTACTTCCTTTTTACAGCTAAATAGTATTCCAGTAGGTGAATGTACTACGTTTGCTTTATCCATTCATCTTCTGAAGGACACTTGGGTTGTTTTCACTTTGGGGCTATTAGGAATAATGCCGCTGTATACATCATGTACAAGTTTTTGTATAGACATATATTTTCATTTCTCTTGGGTGTATAACAAGGAGTGGAATTGCTGGGTCATATGGAAACTATGTTTAACACTTGAAGAACTGCCAAAGAGTTTTCTCCAAGTGTGGTACCATTTCACATTCCCACAAGCAATATAGTAGGATTCCAACTTCTCCACTTCCTTGTTAACACTATTGTCCATCTTTTATTATGGCCATCTTAGTCGTCTCCCCTCTTTTGTATATTTTATTCTGTGTACTTGCCCCTGTTCTGTCTATAAATATCCTTAAGCTAAATGAACATTTCCTGACCCTGCTACTCTCCCAACACTATTGACTACACTTTTCTAATATTTGCTCCCTTGGTTTCCGTGACACCACTTCTCTGTGTACTCCTATTTCTTCCCTGGTTTGTCTTTTTCTCTTCCCATATAACCTAGACAGCATTCCGTAGTGCTCTGTCCTTTGCTAGTCTCTCTCTCCTTCTCTCTCTCTCCCTGACAATCTCATACTCTCTCACAACTTCAGTTACATTCAACACAATTATTAGCATCTCTTATGCTTATATGCTGCTTTACAATTTACAAAGCATTTTTTTTAATATATTGTCTCACTTAATTGTCACAACAACCCTGCAAGTGAGTAGAGCAGGCATTCACTAATATGACCCTTGTCTTACAGATGAGGAATCAAGATCAGAGGGTTCAGAAGCTCAAGGTCTCAGAACTAGAAAGTGTCAGAACCAGCATGAGGGTCGGGCACAGTGGCTTATACAGAGTGCTGAAATCCCAGCACTCTGGGAGGCCAAGGTGGATGGATCACCTGAGGTCAGGAGTTCAAGACCAACCTGGTCAACAGGGCGAAACCCCATCTCTACTAAAAATACAAAAAATTAGCTGGGTATGGTGGCGAGTGCCTGTACTCCCAGCTACTCAGGAGGGTAAGGCAGCAGAATTGCTTGAACCCAGGAGGCAGAGGTTGCAGTGAGCCGAGATCACACCATTGCACTCCAGCCCGGGCAACAGAGCAAGACTATGTCTCAAAAGAAAGAAAGAAACAGCATGAGGACCCAGGATCATCTGAATTCAAGTCAGTAAGTGCTCTGGCCACTGCTTTCCTGAAGCCTTTCCTAATCACCCCCTGTGGCCATAGACTGTTCTTCCCTCTAGCGTCCATGAACCTGTTTCACAGAATGCATTATTCTGCCTTGAGGTGGACTGTGTGCATCTCTTATTCAAACCTATGCTCCTTGAGGGCAAGAACCATATCCTATTTCTCTTTCAACCTCCAAAGCTTCTAGAATCGTGAGAGCTGAGCTTATAAAAGGTAACCAAGGCTGAGCTCCGTGGCTCATGCCTGTAATCCCAGCACTTTTGGAGGCTGAGGCGGGTGGATCCCAGCTACTTGGGTGGCTGAGGGAGGAGAATTGCTTGAACTCAGGAGGCGGAGGTTGCAGTGAGCCAAGATTGCGCCATTGCACTCCAGCCTGGGCAACAAGAGCGAAACTCTATCTCAAAAAAAAAAGGTAACCAAGAATGTTTGTAGCACTGAATTGATCATCACCTGCCTATTTGTTGTGGGAATCTCAGCTTCATCTCCTTCCCATTGGAATGGCTGATTCACAGCACCAGGGCTTTTTGTGCTCTAACATGTCTCAAAACCCTCCAGAAAGATTGAGCTCAGGTGGCTGGTAAACTAGATAATACCCTTGTTACTTTAAGTAGAGATTATTGAGTCCCCTCCCGGCAAAAATGCATTTGAATTGCTCCAGTTCTCTAGTTTGTTTGGTAGTTTAGATCAGAAATGGGTCCATTTGCCTCACTGTTTGAATGGAGTTTCCTGGGGCAAAAAACCTCTTTTCATCAATTCCAAGATCATGACCCTATCTTTCTAAAACCCCGGATGAAATTTCCTCAGTCTTTACTGAGAATCTAAGAATGGCACAAAAAGTTTCTGCCCCAGAGATCTTTTCCTAAGAGTGTTCAACATGCTGTAATACCTTTCCTAATCCCTAACTCCGCAAGCTCAATTTACTAGAGGAAAATATACTTACTTGGGGTGGGAGGTAGCTATTTTAGAAAACTCATTGTCCCACATTGGTCTCCCAAAGGAGGTTTTCTGTTTCAGACCTGTCAGGATGTCAGTGGCCTTGTCAAAGTTTAATGCTGCATGACCAACCTGGATTCAGAGGAATAAAAGTTAGAAAAACCAAGTCCTAATAGCTGCCTCTTCTTTCCTCCACCTTTAAACCTGGGTGTGAGTGTGAGAGCAGGTAGGAAATCATAAGAAATAACTTCTAATCCATATGCACTATCCTTTGTCTGATATTCATCTTATGTTTAGCAGGGGAATTGGTGTGTTATTTAAACTCACAATATTGCTGTCCCATCCAGTGAGGAAGAGACGGTAGTTTAGAAAACCCACTTTGCCTAATTCTTCCATCTCCTGTTCCAGGGAAGTCAACAGGTCGTTGAACCAGGAAAAGGCACCTGTCTCCCTGCAGATCCAGTAGAAATAGATCTGAAATCGGCAAGAGAGAGCATAGCCTTACTAAGTGACCTTAAACATCGCATTTACAAAGCAGCAAACTTTAGGGAGCAGGAATGTTCAGGGTTCTGACAATTTTCCTTATGAAAGAGGCTTCCAACATCTTTGGGTCAGGGTGATTTTAAACTGCAAATTGAAAAGAACACCCTGCTCTTATGATAAATCTGTAGAAGTGGATGTCCTGGCTAAGACAAGTGATCCCTTATTCTCGTAACTCCAGGGAGAGTTTGCTCCCTTATCAATTGTAAAGAGCTTAGCCCAGAAAGGCAATAGACTTGCCAGACCCAGATCAGGTGAAAAGTGATATACAGGATTATACCTTTTTTGTTTTGAGGTTGTGGTCTGCACACTGGAATTTGTACCAGATGGATTTCAAGATAGAAGCAAAGGGGGTGACCCCAATTCCTGCTCCAACCAGCACAGCCACTTCATACTGGAAAACATCCTCACTGGCTGTGCCAAAGGGACCATCCACTTCAATCCTGGCAGAATATAGACGACAACGGGCAACTGAAGACTCCCCTCCACTTCCAACCTCAAACATCCTCCCAGAGATATAGTTGTTCCCATGACTGGCTTCTGCCTATTTATTTTAATCTTAGTCTATTGTACTAAACTTAAGGTTCAACAAAGAATTGCTTTCTCTTTTCTGCCAGTCTGCATCCTGGTCTGAGACTCTGCTTGTATCAAGGACCTACCTGGGAATTGTTGGATATTGTTGTTCAAAAGCCCTTATGAGATTTTCTGTCCAGTCCCCTGCTGCTCGGATATGAATGGAGAAGAAATCTTCCTCTGGAGCAGAGGTCAATGTAAAAGGATGCCATTCCAAGAGAGAGATTGAGGGGCAATTAACAAAGATATACTGTCCCACTTCCATGCTGAAGCCACGCTTGTTCATCTGCAGTTCTACAACTTTGGATGGGTGCATGACAACCTGTGAATTAAGCACATAGACCAAAGAAAGCAAACTCTAATGGCGACAGGGCCAGACAGATAAAGCAAATGAGTGAAGCTGGAGGGCTGGTGACGATGGTGAACTACAAACACAAGTCCTCATTAAAGAGGACAGTAGCTGCTTAGCTCCAGACAATGGTTGCAAATGGAACCATGGCAGTGTTATCAGGTTTTCTGATTCTTCAAGAGAAGCAAGAAATTGCTTTTAAAAACTCAAACAGAAGCTTCCATCCAGATTTTTAAATGCTGGCAACCAATTCAACGTTATAAACAAACATTGTGTACACCAAACAAAATGTATCTGTGGAGTAGATCTGGCCCAGGCTGCCCGTTTGCAACCCCTGACATAGACTTATCCTGATGATTTCTGCGAAACCCCTCTTTCCCAGTTCCGTCCTGCACTGGAAGAACTAAGGTATGTCAAATCCAAATTCTCTTTTTTTTTTTAGAGAGTCTCTCTCTGTCGCCCCCAGGCTGGAGTGCAGTGGCACAATCTCAACTCACTGCAGCTTCCTCCGCCTCTCAGGTTCAAGCCATTCTCTTGCCTCAGCCTCCCAAGTAGCTGGAATTACAGGCGGGCGCCGCCACGCCCAGCTGATATTTTTCGTATTTTCAGTAGAGACAGGGTTTCACCAAGTTGGCCAGGCTGGTCTTGAACTCCTGACCTCAGGAGATCTGCCCTCCTCGGCCTCCCAAAGTGCTGGGATGACCACCCAGCAGGCCTGGCCTCCAAGTTCCTCTTTATCCCCCTCAGGGTGACAACATAAAAGTTTAGTTCTATAGTCTAATAGAAGAAAACTCTTATCACAGCAAGAGAAAAGTGCATACTCTTTTTTTTTTTTTTTTT